CTCTCTCTCTCTCTCTCTCTCTCTCTCTCTCTCTCTCTCTCTCTCTCTCTCTCCTCTCTCTCTTCTCTCTCTGTCTCTCCCTCTCTATCTCTAATCTCTATCTCTAATCTCTAAATATCGGTCATCTGTCTCTCTATATATCTATCTATGTCTATATATAGAGAGAGAGATTTTGAAGAATTGACTCATGCAGTTGTTGAGGCTTGGCAAATCCAAAATCTGATGAGGGAAGCCAGCAGGCTGGAGGCTTGGAAAAGAGTTACAGTTGAGTTCAAAGACAGTTATTTGGAAAACCAGGAAGAATTTATATTGAAGATGGAGTCTGAAGGCAGTCTGATGGAGAATTCCCTCTTGTTTAGAGGACAGGCTTTTATGCTCTTTAGGCCTTCCTTCAGCTGACTGGATGAGGTCCACCCGCATTATGGAGGGCAATCTGCTTTACTCAGAGTCAGCCAATGTAAATGTAAATCTCATCTAAAAACACCCTCACAGAAACCTCTTGTGTTTGACTAACTATCTTGTCAGCGTGGCCCAGCTAAACTGACACATGAAAGTAATCTACCTGGATAATCCCGGATAGTCTCACTGTTTTAATGTCAGGCGATCAGCAACCTTAATTCCCTTTTGCCATATACATAATCTAACATATTCACAAGTAAAGCAGAAGGGTATCAATAAAATCCTACAATGAACATATTTAATTGTGAATGCTAAATAACTAAATTGAAGATCAAAGCAAGTATGCCCACTATCTCTGTTTCAATTAGCCATTTTCTAAACATATTAGTAGGCATAGTAAGATGAGGAAAAGTAATAGACCCTATAACAATTGGAATTAAGGAAAGAAGTCATTAATCCTAGGTGATATAATTGTCTACACAGAAATCACCAAATATTTACAGACAAATTATTAGAATTATTAAGAGAGATTAGCTAATTTGAAATATAAGATTGATATTAAAAAGTCAATTGTATTTTTTATATACTAACATATTTAGAATAAGTAACAAAGGCAAGAAAAGATATTTATAAAAGCAACAAAAATATAAAATGTCTAGCAATAAAGCAAGCAAATGGGCAAGACTTTTATGCAGAAATCTATTAAACTATAATGAAAGTTATTAAAAACATCTGATAAATAAAATATCATACCATGCTCATAGACACAATGTATTCAAACTATCAATTGTCTAAAAATGGACTTATTAAATATCATGTCAATCAAAATCCTAACAAGTTGTTTTCATGAAACTTGACAAACTTATTCTAAAATTAAGATGATATTCCAAAGCCTCAAGAATAGCAAAGAAATTACTAACAGAGAAAAATAAAGTTTGGCAAGTTGCCCATCAAGGTTTATTCTAAAGATATCTAATATTATAAAGTTATATGCTGTATTTGTTACAGCATAGTATTGATGTTATTATGATATTTGAGGTAAAAGTGGAAAAAAAAAGAGAGAATCCAGAAAACCAACCTACATATCAATGTAAGTCTGATATATAGCAGAGGTGGTATTGCAGGTTAGTGGAGAAAAGAAAGGCTATTAAATAAATGTTTTGGGAAATTGAGTATCCATATTAAAAAAAAAAGACAATAGATCTCTAATCTCACACAAAAATAAATTTCAGATGAATGAAATACTTAAATGTCACATCAAAACTTCAAAATATGCCGAAACTATGTGTTGAATGTAACATGATTCGTGGCATATTTAGAAACGTACCACTGAATGAAAAGTTTGCTAATCCTCAACTGACTGCTCTGCTTGCCAATATTTGGGTAAAGGAAGGAAGGCAGAAAGAGAGACAGGGAAGCATGTTCCACTTCTTATTTTTCTAGATTTTTTTTATTTTTGAATTACAGTTGACATGCAATATTATGTTAGTTTCAGGTGTACAACATAGTGATTAGATATTTATACAATTTATGAAGTGATCCCCCCATAAATCTAGTACCCACCTGACACTATATTAGTTATTACAAGATTATTGACTATATCCCCTATGCTATTCTTTACATCCCCATGACTATTTTGCAATTACCTATTTGTACCTCTTAATCCCTCGCCCTCCTTCACTCATTCCTCCACCTCCCCTCCCATCTGGCAACCATCAGAATGTTCTCTGTATCTATGAGTTTGTTTTGTTCATTTATTCTGTTTTTTAGATTCCACATATAAGTGAAATCATATGGTATCTGTCTTTCTCTGTCTGACTGATTTCAATAAGCACAGTACCCTTTAGGTCCATCCTTGTTGCAGATGGCAAGATTTCATTTTCTCTTATGGCTGGACAATATTCCATTGTGTATATGTACCACTTCTTCTTTATCCATTCATCTACTGATGGACATCTAGATTTCTTCTATATCCTGGCAACTGTAATAATGCTGCAGTGAGCATATAGGTGCAAATGTCTTTTCAAATTAGTGTTTGGGTTTCCCTGGACAAATATTCAGAAGTGGAATTACTGGGTCCTTCTTTGTCACTTGTTATAGCCTTTGTTTTAATGTCTTTTTTGTCTGGTATAATTATTGCTACCCAGCTTTATTTTATTTTATTTTATTTTTAATTGGGTAATTGGGGGGATGGGAACAGTGCTGGGGAATTGGGGGAAGGGGAACAGACAAGTTGCTGTCCTTTTGTTCTTCAGTCTAGTTGTGGAGGACCCTGCTTCACTGGCCCAAGTTGGCACCATCATTGCGCTCTTCCTGGGCGAGGCA